ACTTTACTTTACTTTACTTTACTTTACTTTACTTTACTTTACTTTACATTACATTACATTACATTACATTACATTACATTACATTATTGTCATTGTACCTCGTAGAACAAAATCAAACGCCATCTTCAGTGCACATCAAGACCATGACCATGAAAATAAACACAAACACACATCCTTCACCCTTCACACATTGAACCAGAAACCCCCGACACCATACCAACACTGCACTATATAGTACAATTCAACAAAGCTACTGCCCTGGGATAGAAGTTGATTTTCAGTCTATTTGTCCTTGTTTTTATTATTCTGTACTGTCTGCTAGATGGTAATAGTTCAAAAAAGGGGTTCCTAGGATGAGAGGGATCTTTGAGAATGTTTTGAACTTTCTTAAGGCAGTGGGAGCTATAAAGCTCTTCCAAAGAGGGGAGAGGCAACCCATGATCTTCTGGACAATGACGTTAAGCTTTTAATTCACTTTAAATTCTTAAGTAAACTGTCATAAATTCATGCCAAAGCATCCAAATTTTTGATCATATAGGGATGCTAATAGTCATAAGTGCAAAGATTAGCCGTAAGTCCATTTTTTCAGTGTCATTGTAACTTGGAATGGTTGTAGGTCAAAAACTATCTTTACACCTTAGAGTCGTGTTAACTACTTTAAAAGAAAGTAGATAATGTAGTCATAAACTGTAGGAGCTATTAAGATCAGGACCAAAAAAAATGTTGAATATTAGCAACAGTTTCACTAACCAAATTCCTCTAAATTTGGGCATGTCAGCAATAATAGCAATAGCACTTAGACTTTATATTGCTTCACGGTGCTTTACAGCTCTCTCTAAGCCAGGGATCACCAATCTTTTGGACCTCAAGGACCACCAAACTCATAATTTTAGATCCCAGAGACCACTAACTGGTTCTGTGGGTGTGGCATAATTTGTGGGTGTGGCTTGGTGGTCACGTGACTGGCTGGGCATGGATTGTATGTAAATATTATAAATATTTATATAAATAGTGACTTTTTTTATAAAAAAAGAGCAACTTTTACCCAAAATCAGGCAAAGCAGGCAGATTGAGTTGCTCACAGAATCACAGAATCAGATTCATTCAGAGATCTATCTATCTGCCATTGGCTAGCTCAGTCTGTCACATAAAATTTGCTTGCAAGCAAACTTATAAAATTTGCTAGTAAGCAAACTCACAAAATTAACTCACAACACACCATGTATGTAAATATTGAATTTTTTTATTAAAAAAGAGCAACTTTTACCCCAAATCAGGAAACAGGCAGATTGAGTTGCTCACAGAATCATTCAGTGATCTATTTATCTGCCATCGGCTAGCTCAGTCTCTCAAATTTGCTTGCCGTGAGTCTGCACTGAATTTGCTTGCAAGCAAACCTTCAGTCCTAAGGGAGGTTTGGCTGTGCTTAAAAGCACAGCCAAAGATCTAAAGAATAGCTAGAAAGCAAGAAATCCAACAATTTCCTGCTTCCTAGGTAATCTAAATTTCCCGGCACAGCAGAACAGATGATGGTTGGAAAAAGGAAAAATAGCAATTTAGCAGGCAAGTTTACCGGGTAAGGAGTGAGTGGGCGGGGAGAGTTCCTGTGGGCCATGTGGGCGGCACAGCCTTGTGTTTCTGCGCAGCCTGGATTAATTGCTTTGTGGGGGTGCCCTGGGGGTGAGATTTCTCTGTGGCCCACCAAAATTTTCTCATGGCCCACTGGTGGGCCGCAGCCCACCGGTTGGTGACCACTGCTCTAAGCAGTTTACAGAGTCAGCCTATTGCCCCCAACACTCTGGGACCTCATTTTACCCATCTGGGAAGAATGGAAGGCTGAGTCAACCTTGAGCCTGGTGAGATTCAAACTGCCAAATTGTAAGCAGCCGGCAGTCAGCAGAAGTAGCCTGCAGCACTGCACTCTAACCACTGTGCCACTGCCGTGGCTCTTACTCCCGTAACTGTCCATATCAACTGGATGTAAGTACTAACAATAAAAATTCAAAGGGCCACAACTTCATCATTCTGTCTAAAGTAGTCTCTTGCATTCAGCTTTGTCCTATGTTGCTAACAAGAGCAAATTAATCTTGTATAGTGGAACCTCGGGTCTTGACCGTAATCCATTCCAGTGCTATGGTCACAACCTGATTTGGTCCTGATCGGAAGCATGACCAACAGTACATGCACAGATGGACTATGCATGTGCAGAAGGGGAAATTGCTGCAGTAAGGGAATCTGCCACAGCCAGGTTTGTTTGCCATCTGATTTTTGAATTGACCCAATTCAAAAACGGGGTGGATTTTTTGGTCGGAACCTGATTTGGTCACGAACAGGAGCATTCATCACCCAAGATTCCACTGTATGTTGCTTCTGCTTAAATTACACTAGGAATTTGAAACCTTTTACTGCCATTAAGGTCCACAGAGGAAAAACAAGACCTAATCATTGGCTTCATTGGTGTGATCCATCTAGAATCTTGGAATTCAATTTCCAAACTTCAAAGCACACACAGCAACTGGATTCAGATAAGGCAGGGGTGTCAAACTCAATGTCACTGAGGTCCACATCAGAGTTGTGTTTGAGCTCGGGGAGCTGGGGTGTGGCCAGGGGTGTGTGGCCAGCTCAATGTCACTTGTGTTGGGGGCACCTGTGGTGGCACCAAGTGCCTGAGCTCCATTTTTGGCTGCGACAATCTCCTGAAACCCTTTGCCAATGAAAATGGAGCTCAGGAGGGCCACATATGGACCAGTCCTTTGCTGTTTCCAGGTTGGTTCCTTGGGCCAGATCAAAGCACCCCAAGGGTCAGATTTGGCCCATGGGCCTTGAGTTTGACACTCCTGAGATAAGGACACCTAAAATATCCAATGTCAGCAAGCAGACTGGATGTTAATTTTAAAACAACAGATGCCATTTCAAATTTTTTTAAAAATATTAATTGTTTCTCAAGCAAACCATCGGGTTATATATCTATATATAAGCAGCAGTGATTCTCAGTCATCCAGGTCATGATTGTCCCAAACGGTTGGGATAATCTGGCTATCCGGGGACACACAGTACTGATGAGTAGCATTTTATTTCATGATTAATTATGACCATAAAATTAAATATAACTTTATGGCATTGTTTATTATTTAAACAAAGTTCTCTCATTGATTTTATAAAATACAGCTGAAAACAAATGAAAAGCGGCACCATAAAAGCTAAACGAATCCAATAAAAAATATTACATTTTATTTTAATGTACAGCACATAAAGCCACAGTAAAACTAACAATTGATCAAAGAGCATAAAAGGTAATTAAGATGAAACCATTATAAAAGCATAAACATCTTGGTTATTTACATATGGATAAGACTTTCAGTATGATCAAAGAGAATCCCACAATATGCATGGTTTAGAATGGATGACATCATTTGTTCAATACTCAGACAATGTTGACTGAATAATTATAAAACAGAGTAGTTTTAAAAGAAATCAGTTTTAAAAAAAGATCCTATAGTCTTTATATTTGTGTCAGAAGGATGAGAGTCTATTCTTTTCTCTGTTCGTTCCAAAGCTGAGAATCTAATAGAAACCAGCAGACAATCGGTGGAGAGTCTAAATATAGTTATTCACCCAAAGTGGTTTTGAGTTGGAGGTGGTTTTCCCCATTTTTTTCTTTTAGTCAAAATTTAGCCAATCAGAATGCATCGCTTATCTCAATACTTTTTGGTCTACCAGCATGAACATTTGGTCTGTATATCCTGTTTCTCTTAGCATGGACATTTTTTGGGGGTATCCTGCTTAAATGTTTTCTGATCTCAAAAGTACACCAACCTTCCTTATTTGTGATTAGCAGAATCTCTTATCTATAGCAAAAACATGAATGGGCATTTTACCCTCCCCTCTACATACATTTTTCTACAGGAAAAGGAAAAAATGTGTCTTCCGTTGTTAGATGATACATACATTTGTCTATTCAGGAACCAGTTACTGACAGGAAGCGTCATTATTGTTATATAAGATACAGATCTTCCTTTCCTTGTTGTAAACATAATCCAATAGCAGAAGGCCTAAAACTTTCTCAGCTTGTACACAGACTAGAACAAAAAACATCAAAACATCAGAGTTGGAAGGGACCTTCTAAGCCAGGGGTGTCAATTTCAAGGCCCAGGGACTGGATCAGGCCCACAGGGTGTTTAGATCTGGCCCACGGGACCACCTTCAAAATACTGAAGGACTGGCCCATGGTGCCTCTGCCTCAGGCTCTCAGACTTCCGGACTCCATTTTCGCTGCCAGAGGGCTACTGGAGGATCCTTCCAGGCCCGTT